TTCCGGCTAACCAAATAGCCAACGGTGTACAGAGAAAATTGGGGTTGTATTTCAATGTTGATGGAGAGGAAGCTCAGATATGAATTTTTATTAAACGAGAGTAATTATAGTTATACAGGCTTGCTTTTTAATACAAACAATTTATTTTTTAAAACTCTTTGCTTTTCACGTATTTTTTTAATTTAGTCTAACCCAGTTATCTCTTAATTTTAGGTTTTTTTTTTCAGCATTTTTTCTTCAAGATTTTAGACCAATGCTCAGTGATTTCTTAGTTTTAGATTATTTTTCAGTATCCCTTCTTCAAGATTTTAGCCCAATAGAAATAGGTCAATGCCCTTAGCAGATTTTTGTTTTTATTTGATTTAGTTTTTTGGTAAAATTAGTTTTTGTGACTTATTATTATTATTATTATTATGATTTGCTTCTATTAACTTTCTCAATTATTAAACATTTAATTTGATTTTAATTTAAATATGTCTACAATTTCATTCAAATTTTAAATCTTTTACTTTTTTTTGTTACAATTTTTAAATTTCTATTAGATTTACGTTTTCTGCCTATATTTTTAGATACTATTTAATTATATTTTCTATACTTTATTTAGTTAATTTATAACATTTGTCCTTAGCTTATTTCATTACCAATACCTCAACTAATTTTTCTTTGGATCAGGCTCTAGGCCTTTGAAACGAGTTTGGATGGTAAGCAATTAATGACAAAGCCTGCAAAGGAATTGAAATGGATATGATAATTAAGGGGTAAGCATTATTAGGAGTTGCTTTCAACAGAAGTGTTGAAATAACTTTACCGCTACTTCTATTGATCCAAATATTAAACATGGGTAGAGCCTGTTCAAGAAAGTGCCTGAAATGAAGCCTCCTAATAAAGTCAGCAAGCAGGCTGAACCCATGTAGTTTGTGAGGGTGTTTGAAGAGGTGGGGTAATCAAGCTTCATCACCAAGTTGAAATACAGGACCATGCTAGCTAAGTAATTAGCCATGAAGCTCATATTCTCAAAGGTTCCCAACACTACGTTTGTTTGAAAGATTATAATTGTTTACTTTAGTTTTATATAACTAATGTTTCTTAATCTTAATATGCAAATAAAACTTAATGCTCATTTCTCGCTTGAGAAATTAAATGAAAATAGAACGAATTAAGAACTTAAATGAGCCTCAAAATAACAATACAATTATTGTTCACTGCGAATGCAAGAAAGAAGCTGCCCAAGCATGTAAATAATAAAAATCACATTCTAACAATCTTGCGAACAATCGGAGGGAAAATGAAATCGAAAATAATAAGGACAAAAGAATGAGATTTGCTTCACCTCAAAATAAATCATCAAGCACATATACTCAAATACTTACAAATACTCACAACTTAGACTTACACAAGCTGCAAGTAGCCGACTGAAGAATAGAAACACAACTATGGGCACTACCTTTCAAAGATTGCCGAGAATGATAGGTTGAAAGGAATTGACTGATTGAAGAACAGAAACAAAGCCAATGAGCTACAGCACATAGGAGAGGAGACTGGAGTATGAAGAGGAGGCATCGCAGAGCAGATTTGCAAATCTCATAAATTTGAAATAGTCCTTCTAGTTCTAGGGTTACTAGCAAATTGAGTTGGGCTTGGGTAATTAAGTTTAAAAAAATTATAGGCTGGATTAGACTATATAATTGGGTTTGGAAGAATTGAAAAAAAAAAGGATTGCTCAATTAATTAGGTTGAGTAAGTAAAAATTAATTGTTAATATATTTAAATATATATAAATTTATTTATCTATTTATTTTATATGGACCTCTACGGTTTCTCACGGAACGAAAGAAATTCCCCACAAAATTTACGGAAAAAGAAATGCTTCTATCCCCACCCCACGGAAAGGAATATTATCGGAATCTCCATCCCCATAACGGGGAAATCCACGAAGCTCCACAGGTCACGAAGGAAATTGCCATTCCTATACCTCACTCGGTAGGCCCACCCAGACCTACTCCTCACGGATCGAATCTGCTTCTCTGTTGGGGAATTTTTCTTGACCTTTTCTCCAACTTCGGGGCCTGTCTGGTTTTTAATTACTAGTTAAAACCACTAGTTAGAGTGAGCATTTTCGGTATAATTTAGATATGAGTTATATTTAATATTTAATTGAAAAAAATTTTAGGTATAATTTTTTGATTTAATATTTATTTAAATACTTAAAAATTTATACTTAGTCCCTAACCAAACAAGTATTAAGTAATTTATAAATATATACTTACATATCTATTTTAGGTAAAGTAAAGATCTTATGAATTATTATTATTACGTATATTATGTATTTAAGTTAAAATTTATTATTAATATAAGTTGTTATTGTTACTTGTGTGATTTATTTAGTTTACATATTTTATTTTACTTATATTTTTATTTTTATATTTTATTATTTTTATGCATTTAAACAAAAATGCAAAAACGGTATGTCAAAGATACCGGAGTCTGAAACCATTGATTGCATGCAACAGGCTCCTTCAGAAGTTTATTCACGTACCCGACATACCCCTGCAAATACTGCATATGAGATTCTAATGTAAGGCTTATGTGTCACACCCCAAGATTAATAAAGGCTTATGTGTCACACCCCAAGATTAATAAAAAGGTGAACCAAGATAATGAACAGCTATGCATCAAAAAGGATCACAAATTTGCAACTAGACCACTTCCATGTTAAGTCACTATCTGCTATTTACTGTGAGTCCTTGGCCATATTAATTCCAGGAGCTTTTAATAGCAAAAAGAAAGTGAATGCTGCATCAGGCCTGCGGGTCAAGTGACGTTAGTCACTTTACGATGCTCTTTTTTTTTTTGAATTTGGGTTCAATCCGACTCTTGTCAACCTATTAAAAAAAAAAAGAAAACTGAGTTAAAGCAGAAAATTAATTGTGATGAGCATGTGACGGCTTTTCTATTATTCCAGCGGCATCAATGCCTACCAGCCGTATTTTAAATGTAAATATCTAATGTCACCTCATCAACAGACTACCCTCGAACAAACCATCCTCCTTACCCGCCGTCTTACCCAACCTTTTGCAATTTTTTTTTTTTTTTTATATTTGATGAGAAAACACGAAAAAAACTTATTTTTAGTCTCTCATTTTATTAAATTTAAAATTTTTAATTTTTTATTTTTAGTATAATACTTTTAACATTTTATCTTAGATTTATAGGTTTTAATCCCTCACCTATTAAAATGAAAAGAAATAACTCTTATTTTATATTGATTGTTAACTCTGTCAATTGAAAGTAAATTTTTGTCAACTAACAATCAATTAATAATCAGTTAACAGAATGAATGAAATATTATAAAATTAGTTCGGTTAATTTTATTAGTTAAAAGAAGGTTTTTATCAGTTAACAGTCAATAATAATCAGTTAATAAAATTAACAGTTAACTAATAAAATTAAGAAAATATTACAAAATAATGGCTATTTTCTTCAATTTTAACAGGTGAAGTGTTAAAAGTGTCATAATATAAGGTGATAAAGCAAAACTTACAAATCAAGTAAAATGAGGGATTAAAAATATCATAATATAAAGTAAAAGACTAAAACTTTCAAATTTGATAAAATGATAAGCTAAAAATAGACTTTTACCCAATCCGCTATGGGTAGTTATTGATGAAATTATGACGAAAAAAATCTATAAAATCTTTTAAATCTAAAAAAATCTTGATTTTATACAACTTTATAAGTTTATTATGATTTATGATGTTAAGCTCTAAATTTAAAAAATTCTGATTTTAACTTAAATTTAATGCAATTTAAATACTTAAAATTATAAAATCGTACAAATTTACAAGTACAATTATAACTTTGGCAATGATTTTGGTCAGTTTTACTATAAAGAGGTGCAGAGAAAAAGTTGATGATAGTCAAATGGATTTATAATATTCATTTAAATTTTTTTTTATTTTAGTTATATAATAAGAAGTAACAATTTTTTATTTTTTTATTTTTTTTTACCTGTATATCATGCCACTGAAATTCCTTAAGATTTTTTATTTTTAACGAAAAAAATAATTACTAAATTAATTAGTTAATCGATAATATTCATTTAAAATTTAAATGCTATTCAAACGGTGTGATGGTTTTTTTTATCCTCGTTAGTCGTCAATATCTTAACAGCATTAAGCCAATGGACCTTGTTGAATAAATAGTATTAATAATAAATATTGAAATAATATAGTATTAATAATAAATATTAAAACAATATAGGAATCTAGATCATATTTGTAAAACCATAAGTGATCAAAGCATCTTAGACCTTTTTTGTGAGTTGCTCTAAAAGGAAATTGATTAGAAATTTTCTAAAATTTTTGGTATATAGTTGATTTCTCTACTTTGAGTGTGAGACTTAGTTAATAGAAGTCCTGTTTGGTATAACGATTTTAAAATAATAATTAGTTATTTTGTTTAAATAGTTAAGAATAGATATTTAGTAAATATATATTTTAAAAGCATTACAAATAAGATAGTTTTAGAGTAGACTAAAAAAACTAGTTTAAATAACTTTTTATATTAAATTATTGACATCTTACTTTTTTTTAATTTTTAAAATTTTTTATCACAGTTTTTAATTAATACTTATGTAATTAATTTTAATTTTGTTTTTTCATCTTTATTACATTAAGTAATTATTTTATTTTTATTTTTACATTAATTAGTCATAAAAAATATGTTTTCTTAATAAACAAAAAATTTTAATTAAATAAAATAATTAAAATTTATTTATTTAAAAATAATATAATTTTTTGTTAAAAAAAAATAAATGTATGATTATATTAAAAATAAATGTATGATTATATTATTATAATTTATTTTATTTATTTATTTTTTAAATTAAGAACTTTAATAATAAAAATATATAAAAAATACATATTCACTATCCTTTATACCGTACAACGAAGACTGATGTGACGCATTTTAATTGGAACAAGATACTACATAGATGGTATAACCGTGACATTCTAGACTCCCTCTTTCACACTCACCTACCACTTTAACCTATGAAACTCATTTCCCCAAAATTTGACATTTCAAAGCCTTTTTTCATTATAGATATAAAATGTTTCACATACTGAATATCACAATCAATAATTAAAATATCATCAACATAAATTAAAGCTAGAAGCTATACATCACTATTTATGTCTTTCACATACAAAGTAAGTTTATTTTCACTCCTCCTGAAACCCTTGTTGCATTAACTAGACATCATTCCTACTATGCTAAGTTCTAAGAGTTTGTTTCATACCATAAAGGGTCTTATGATGCTTATAAACCATATCCTTGCTTCCATGAACGAGGAACCCCTACCAATTTGCAAAAATAAAGATGAAATACGAGTATAAATAGATATAAACTTAAAATTTAACTTGAATTGACATGAACATTAATATTGATATTAAAAAAACATATATTGAGTTTTTCTAGTACAACTCAGCACAAATAAACGTAAAAATATAAAGTGTACATTATGTTTTACAGAGAAAAACAGCAACTTAGAACAAGACAGTTACCAGGTGTTAAGAACCTGCAATACAAATTGCTACACACACACGGATTACATAATTATATAAAAGACATTAACTGCGATGAAACCAAGTTAACAGACTTGATCTCAAATATGCTAACAAAAATTGTATGAAAACAGTGACAGACATGCATGTCTGATGGCTGCTCTGGATGTCACTTAATATTTAATATATAATTGTTATGGTATTGCACTTTAATTGCGTTCCATCCAAAGGAATGGATGTTATACAAAGAAAATAATACATACTAAGAATATTTAGGTTAGTCACATGGGAGAACATAGCTCATCGATAGATTTACAAGTCAGATGTCTAATTGTGTTCATAGGATACAATGGTTGGGAGATCTTGAGAGACTCTGGTTCTGGTTCACTCAAGGATAAGGCCTGATGCAGCAATTGATGTAGGTCAAGATCCTCCTCTTTCTCTGCATAGCAGTAAATTTAGGAGGATTAGAAATAAGAATCGTAGCAATTTTATTGGATGCTATCTATTAATTTTCCTCTGCTAAGGCATATTTTATCATGTGTTTTGACAATTAATATGGACTCAGGATTTGGTCTGAAGGAATGAAAACAAATACTAGGTCGGATTTGGTGAAAATAGGAACTGACCATAATAGAATCGTCCTGTTGAGGAGGTAATGTAGCAGCAACCAACTCCTCTTCATTTCCAACGCTCCTTCGCCTAATAGCGTCGCTCTTTTGCTGCTTCCTATTAGCTCGAGCTTGTGAAAAAACCATTGAATAATTAGTAGCTCCCTGGGATGTACGATCCCACCCTCCAAATTGAGGGACAGACCCCCATGGAGCGTTCTGCCAATATGGAAATACCATGGTATATATATTAGCCAATAAGGAGATGAACAAGAAAAGGATTATGAAAGTGAAACTTCTTTTCCTTTCCTATTATATTGCACACAAAATCCAATTGAGCAAAGGAAAATGAAAATGGTTAAGAATAATTACCTCCTTCCTATTGTCCATGACGGTAACTTTTTTGCAGAGGGTGGGAACTGGGGAATGAGCTGAAGCAGATCCTTGGATTGTCCCTATCTATGTCTCCACTCTCTATTTTAAGAGAAGTAGAGTTTGTCCTCTAAGTTTTTGGCCCCCTATTAGATGGATACAATTTGTTTCTTAACGGTTTACGTTAAAGAAATAACAAATAATAATAATAATAAATGAGCCTAGTGACTAAAATTTAATAACAATTTTCTGTTTGAAATTAGTGGCAAGAGAATACATATAAAAATTACTTACGGTTAATATGGTTCCAAATAAAATTAGATTGGGGTTGTTAAAAACTTGAGATAGAATTTTTTAGTTGTTAATTTTTTTTTTTATTGAAATCGTTTAAAGGCATGAATAAATTCTAAAGTATAATCATTATAGAAACTCTTTTCTTTTCTTTTCTTTTTTAATGGATTTTTGCACGTGTTAAGGGCACATGTTTGTTATAAAATTTATAAAAAGAAATTTAAAAGTTTACATTAATTTTAGTGTTAGTTGATAAATTTAATTAGATAATTAATAAATTAAAAATTAATTTTTATTTTTTAATAGAAATTTATGATAAAAAAAAATATGTTTACTATACTCTTGACATATACCCTTATATTATAAAAACCCTTTTTCATTAAAATAACTAAGGATTTTTCTAAGGCATTGGTTAAAGGTAATATTTAAGCATGTATATGTGTGTCTATATATATATATATTACATTTGAGTTTAGTATTTTACCGATAGAAGTTAAAATTACAAAATACCAACTATTAAATTTAAAAGACTCTTTCTCATCCTTATCATTCAACAATTAATATTTTGTAATTTGATATAACTTAAACAGAGAAAAAAAAAAAAGCGTTTTTGTATTTTATTTTTGTGGATGTTTATTGAATTTATTTTCTATCCTCCCATAGTCTCATGTTATTGGTTAAATATCCTCTCATAGATATTTTGAATTTTACTGTTTTTTTTTAAAGAAAAATTTAAACAAAAAAGGTTTATTATTTAAGATAGAGGAAGTAATTAGTTAAGTATGTCTTGTAAGTTGGTAAGATTTTATGTGAGATTAATATTGTGTTCTTGAAATAAAAATTTTTGTTTTTATTTTAGCCAAAAAAAAAAACATATTTTCTTCATTTTCAATAATTTTTATTTTGTTGGGTTTTAAACTCTTTCGGCCCGAAGCGTCCCTTGTTACTTCCCTAATCTGATATAAATGATAATCATCATTAGGTCCATTACCCCTACATTTCTTTGGGTTACATTTTGGCCCAATAAGAAAACAGAGTGCTGCTAAGCCCAAACTACTTTTTGATTGGGCTAGACTTAGAAGCTGATCCAACTGGCTGGCCCATTTCTCGGCCCGTAAGGTTGCCGACCATTCCAGACTCGAGAATTTTCTCGGCACTCGACCTCACAACTTGCAACTAAAAATTTTCCTTCCTTTACCTAATTTTTCTCTGCAGCCAAACAACCTCTCAGCCTCCGACGATGGCTGCAATCAGTCTCCGCAAGGGGAATACTCGCCTTCCGCCGGAAGTGAATCGCGTTCTGTATGTGCGCAACCTCCCTTTCAACATCTCCAGCGAGGAGATGTACGATATATTCGGAAAATACGGCGCGATTCGTCAGATACGCATAGGAACCAGCAAAGAAACCCGCGGTACCGCCTTCGTGGTCTACGAGGACATATACGACGCGAAAACGGCGGTAGATCATCTCTCGGGCTTCAACGTCGCGAATAGGTATTTGATTGTGCTGTATTACCAGCAGACCAAGATGAGCAAGAAGTTCGACCTGAAGAAGAAGGAGGAAGAGATCGCCAAGATGCAGGAGAAGTATGGGGTTTCTACTAGTACTAAAGATAAGTAGATAGGTTTGTTCTGTTCTGTGTTTCTAAGACTGGACCTTTTGTTGCTTCTTTGCTTTATTCCAATTATTCAAGAGTTAGTAACTGTTTTCTGCAATATTTGTTCTGGTTTAATGCCATATTGTGGAACTCCTTTATAAATATGCTTAGAGTTTTAGTTTTTTTTTTTTTCCAATGTTTATGGTTTAGAAATTGGGATAATTTTCTGTATTGGTGATATTGTTTGATAACATAATTCTTAGATTTATGTTATTATTTTGAAATTCAGAAATTTTTTCTGTTCTGTATTAGTTCTTATTTCTCATTTTTTTCATACATCCTCAGTTCGCTGTTGGCATTCCTCTTCTTCTTCTTCTTCCTGGTTCCATTCTGTTAGCTAGAAATTGCCATTGTTCCTATGTCTTCAATTACATCATTACAAAAGATAAAATTCTCTTACGGGCCATTATTGCTCTCTCTCTTTTATAGGCTCACTGGTCTCATCCGTTGCTTACTTGGGATTCTATCTTTTTCACATGATACCTTGTGAACAATTTATATGCAATGGTTTCCCATTTATTAATGAGTATTATTTTAATTTTTTTATTTGGAG